TTATTTTGTATAAATATACAATATGTATACTCATATGAATATATTAAAAATACTAAAATATATTCATTCATATTTAATACTATAACAAAATTAGATCAAAACAATTTAATATTTTACATATAATTATTTATATTTATAATGTCAACTTTCTAAGAAAGGTTTAAGGGTAAAACTACAGTTATGGGCAGAAATGGACTAGAGTCAGTTCTTAATACTTGTTAATAACCTATTAAAAAAGACTTTGAATGTATTGTTTCTCTATTATATCAGATTAAAATAGATGTCCTCAAATTCCATAACCTTTACAATAATAAGTTAATGTATAAACATTTCCTAACCAAATTCAATACAACAATCAACAACATCATTAAAATATATATTAACATAATCCATATATACCAGAATAATAAATTCAAGATCATCTATAATATTTGAGTCAATAGTAATATTTTCAACCCTCCACTAATTATTAAGTAAGACAAACAGCTACTGAGCCTTAAAAAAAGATTGAATAAAGATCCTAATCTGCAAAATAATAATAGTAATCAGTTGATGATTCGTAACGGTACAAACCATACACCATTAAAGATTATGAAATGATGAAAAAGACAGCAAATGCTAAATTAGGAGGTTTGGGACCTAATATTAGTGGAGAAGAATGGGTAAAAGAAAAAGAAAAGCAACTTAAAAGATAAGAATTTGCAGAATAAGTAAGACAGTTTAATTCAACTAATATTATAACTATCAAAAACAAAGAAAGTAAACCACCTGAAATTAATGCAAGGTATTATTACGAATATATCAAGACAAAAGGCTATTGAATTTGCCAGAAATATACCAAAACCTGTGGCCAAAAAAAAGGATGATGTAGCTATGAAGAGTATGCCTAATAAACCTGTTAATAATATGAATAGGGATCCTTTTGATGATGAAATTGCACGACTTGAAAGAGAACATATTAAATATTTAAACTAATTGGATAAAATGAAATGATATTTCATATAATTTTATATTAATACACTTCCCATGATTATAATATATATTATTTAATTAATTTCTGTTTATAATATTACTTATAATTATGATACAAGTTTATAATTAAGATTTTATTATATATAATTAAATATGATTGTAAAATTCATATTGAAATTCATCATAATAGAATAAATTCATTACACATTCATCTTATGTCAATAAATATTATTAAAATTAAAGAAATAAAATGGCTATTTTGATTTATATACTCCTGTCAAATGATGATTCTTTGAATATTAAATAATTTATTTTAGAATACAACATACAGGTTTATTGTAACTAGAGAAAAAGCATGGTTCTTCACATTTTTGAGAATTCAAAATAGCACTATACCCAAGTGACAAAGCATTCTTTATTTTAAATTATTATTAATTACTTTAATATGCTTTATTTTGAAAGTGCTACTAGCAATATTATTGCCTTTATTATGTAAATCTAGAATAACTAATTCTTATTATCCTTAATCACTAAAATTAGATTAATCTTTACAATTAAGGGAATTGTTATTAGTAAATATTAGGTTCATCAATTTACATATTCTCTGATTGGGATGGAACTATATTTATAATTTTATTAAAATAATCTATATCTTAACTATAAAGATCGAAAAAGTCTAAAAAGGTCTTACCAATCTCTTCATTATCTGTATCACGTACACGTTTAATTTATAATAAAGCTAAGATCATAGTCAGAATGCAATAGCTATTCAAACCACCCTTATTACAAATTTATGATATACTTGATAAGCATTTAATAAATTTATAGATTTAAAGTAAAACTTCAAAATTAAAGCAAGACTTTTAAACTATTTAAATTCTTTCTAAAATTCAATCATTGAATTAGCAGTCTTTCTTCCAGAATGATCATTTTTACTAATTGTAATATCAATAAGTTTATTTTAAAATTCTTATGAACATTGCATTTTCAACACAGGCTTTCTAGCATTATCAATTACTTTCACATCCTTAATAAATCCTTGTATCTAAAACTATATACCATAATACTTTGAATTATTCAGCAATCTTATACAATGAAATTCTTTCTTATTCATTTGTTTCGATTACAATATCAATATCAGAATCTAGTAAATTTAAACCAGTATAACAAGAACCGTATAAAAAGGCACGAGACTTAGAACATACAGATTAAACAGTCTAATAATTATCTAAGAATATTTAATACTTCATCGACCATTTAAACTATTTTATCAATGATAGGCCTTTATTCTTCTAATAATTTATTCAATTCTTGAGAGAATGTATTTATTTCAAAAGATAATTACCTATATTTATTGATATATTTACTTTAAAATATCATCTAAAGTAGTCTTGTGTTAAGGTAGTGTAACAATAGTTTCAGAAATTAATTAATCATAAAATGGTTGATTAATATAATTATGTTCTGGAATTTATGATTCTTAATCTTTTTTTTCTTTGTTTTCAGTTTGAATTGATTGATTATTTAATATTTTTTATGGTTTTTGAAAAATTTCACAAAAATCTTCATATTTTTAAGATTTCTGTGAGTTTTAATTATTTTCAATTAAATCTTCTTATTTTCTTTTTCTATTTGGAGATTTTTGGAATTGAATTTCTTCTTCAATAAGTAAATTTCTTATTTCTTGATTACAAGCAACATCTAATGGTGTTTAATGTTGTTAATTCTTTTTTTTATATAGATTTTCTTTTTAACAAATACTTTTTATAATTTATAAATTGCCCAATCTAGATGCTACATGTAATGCTGTATCACCATTTTCATCTTATCCAGAAGCACCATATTATTCAATAATCTTTTGTGCTGTTTTAAAATTGCCTTTACGTAATGATTTGATTAAATGTTAAGGCTTTTCAAGTTATGTTAATTAAAGTAATGTTTCTACTATATCCCAATTATCTTATTCTGATTATATTGCAATATCAAGTGCAAATTTAAATTATTTTTTGTCAAACTTTTCTTTGTATTTTATAATTTCATTTAATATGCTAATTTTGCCGCTTTTTGCTGCCTAGATTAAAGCAGTGTTTCCTGAATTATCCTTATAATTGAAATCAATTTATTATCTTGATATTTTTGAATAATATTTACTTTAAAATTTATTAAATGCATTATAAGTGTTCTTCACTATCTCTTGTATATTAGATGCATTCAACTAAGGCTTATGAAAAATTCATTTATCCTGTTTAATTTACTCGTATATAATCTTCCAATTAAACATATTCACCTAAATTGCAAATGTAATTGTACCTTGATTAGTAAATTCGACTATTTTTTATTAGTGAATAGATTATTATTACATTTTGTGATATTTAATAATTTATTTAATACATTAACAAAAATTCTCATAATAATTAATCAATCATAATAATAAAATTAAGTAAAAAAAACAAAAACTGTTTTATCAAATATAGATAGAATCAAAGTGACTAAGTTGATTCTTATAAAATAAGAGTGTTTTAGCCATTTAATAATATGTGTACTAGTTCAAATAGTCTCATGTTTCCATCAAGTTTCTATGTTTTCACTCTGCCCACTAAGATAGATAAATAAGGAAAGAAAAAACTCCTTTTTAAATTGGTTTAATTAATTCTATCCATATAAGCTTATGAAATTAGGTTAGATAATTCTTTGACCATTAGAAAGCATGAAAGTTTGCTTATATCAAATTTAAATTCGTATTCATTTTAATTTTTCAATAATACAATTATATCAATTGAATAGACTTTTTACTTGATAATATTTAAATAAAATACCAATGTCTATTTCTATAAAGATTTCCATACTTTTGTCTATAATTAATTCATCTCAATATAAGAAGATGGACTTAAATATAATTAGGATTACTTGATGAAATTTAGATTAATGAGAGTAAGTGTTTCTTAAGTAGATGATAAGTTCTTTGTTTGTAGAGTATTATTAATATCTTCTTTTGTGGATGCTCTTCTGAATGCCATAATGTTGAAACTCTTGCAAAATTGACTGGACTCATAACTAGTAGTTCGTCCCAATGTAATGTTAGACTCTTTAGGTTGTGTATGAGTATGAGGGATTTGAATTTTTCTTAAAATAGAGTAATCATTAGAAGATGGCACTTATTTCATTTATAATTTATAATTATGTTTTAAATATCAATTACATAATCTATTTGAAAGGTATATGAATGCAAAAGATTATTAAAATAATAGTATTTGTTAATTATAAAATCTAAATTCGATTAAGAGAATACTTTATGAAAATAATATTTATAAAAATATAAAAGAAAATGTCTAATATTAAAATTGTATATTAAAGAAAAGTCCACAAATTACCATAAAAGATAACATCATATTAGGAAATCGTAGAAACAATAAAGTCCATATATCCTTAAATCAAAGAAGTTCATTTATTTACTATAATAAATCCTAGTAATGATTTAAAATAAATTCTTAGCTGTTCCAGATGGAATTGAAGAAATCAATAGTGATTTAAGTTTAATATTTTTGAAGAAGATGTATAAATAAATGGGATGGCCAACTATTAAATTACTTGTTTTAGAGAATGAGAATGATGAAAAGTAAATTTAAAACTCTTTGGATTTACTAAATCAAAGTACAGTTATTTTGGATTAATCAAATTATCAAGATAAACCTAAAATAGATAAGTAAATTAAAAATATAAATATTAGAGCACCATAAAAATAAGTTAATGATTATAGAAATGATGAAAAAATAAAATAAACACTTATTTAAATCATTGATGAACGATTAAGGTATCATAATCTTTTGAATTCAAATAAATAAGAAAATGAATTGATAACAAAGACTAAACAATTATCTTAAGTGTTGACTTAATATTCTTATGATTGGTTACTTGAATTCGTAAAGTAATAAGGTGCTTATTTATCATATGAGCATTTACTATCGTTGCTGACTAAGAATTAATGATTATTTGATTTATATATTAAATAAATTAAAAAAGATTTAAAAATGGTAATAGCTTCACACTTATTGTTTAATAGGGAGCTCACAAATCCTTGAGAATGAAGAAAAGGTTAATTAAAGCCAATAAATAAAATAGACCATTACCAAATTGGTTCAGATATAGAACTGATAATACAATCAGGTATTTCAAATTGCAATTTTTAGATATAATTCAAAGAGAAGACACTGGAGAAGAACTAAGCTTAATATCAATTGAGTCATGATGAAAATTATTACATGTACAAATTAACACCAATACTCATTTTATTATTTATATTAATATGCATTGAACAATAAATATATCAATAATTTTTAATTATCATTCTTTTATGTGATTACCTTTCCTTAAATAAAGTAAAATAAAATCAATACTTAAAATAGCTATGAAATCAATTATTTCTAAATTGTCCAATTTTAAAATAATTTATTTCTTTTTATTTTTTATTACACTGAATGTACTTAAAGTATTCTTGAATATAATAATGTTTTTTTTAATCAAAAGACACTTTAAGTTGATGAAATGGGAATATTTAATGAAAATCTATATAGATAATTTTATTTAGTATATTTCTTTTGAATAATCTTACTCTAATGTATAATCAATAAGAATAAATTAGAATTCCAATTTAATGAAATCAATATCTTATTGAAATAATAATTAATACTATAATTCTGTTATTTATATCATATATTTATATAATTTAAATTGAGAATGAATATAATTTTATTTTAAGTTATCTTGATAGATATTTTTTATTGAGTAGTTTTAGTTTGTTTGAATGGTTATAATTATTTAATCAATCTTATTTATTTAATGAGTTTGAATTTTAGTATGTCCTTAAAATAATAATTAGTTATAATATTCATATTTAAGTCTAATAAAATATGAATATTCAGTTTTTAATAGTTTGATAAGAGGATGTATATTATTAAAATAGAGAATGTGAATAATAAATAATAGTTTGATGAAAAAAAAATAATTAACGAAATAAATATATGTAACAATCTACTGCGAAAAATCTAAGGGACTTGCTCATAAAACAATAATTGAATTCTAAGATTCATTTCAAAGGTGAGCCAATAAAAGCACCAGTTAGAAAGCAATCTGGCACTTGGGAATGCCAATGTAATCTAAAACATTGTACTATGTGTTCTCGTAAGAAGGTGAATCAAAGTCCTATGATTCGTTAATCAGATTCAAAAAAAGATATAAAGGTTGGGAGTTCAATATCAGCTCATTAATCACCAAATAGAGAGAAATAAAGTCAAATCTTAATGAATCGATAACCATCAGCAAAAAAACCATAATATGCAGAGAATATCATATATCATAAAAGCAATGTTAGCAATTTGTAAGTGTATGAAAATAGTTATTAATTGAAAAGTAAAGTAATACCAAAAAAAGTTGAGAGTAAAAGCATGTTAAGTAATACTTAGATGTCATTTAAATTGAAATTGACTAACAAATATAATTCTGCAAATTCAGTAAATTCAATCAATTCATAATCTCGATCTGAATAGATATTAAATTCAATATCTGAATCAGCTCCATGTTCACCAAAAAAAGATAAACAATCTCATGGTCGTAAATCAGAATTGAATGATAAAACTTAATTAGTAGCATAATAGATTGAAAATCTTCCACCAGAGATAGTTGGACGTTAACATTTTAAATTTTTATATGTAATTGGTAAGGGTGGTTTTGGTAGAGTATGGAAAGTAGAAATGAAGAAAAATAAAAAGATGTATGCTTTAAAAGAAATGGCTAAAGCTAAGATTATTTAAAAACGTAGTGTAAATTCTGTACTTAATGAGAAATATTTGTTAGAACATCTTCATCATCCTTTTCTTGTTAATATGTCATATGCATTCTAAGATAGAGAGAATCTATATCTAATAATAGATCTTTTAACAGGTGGTGATTTACGTTTTCATTTAGGTAAAATGAGACGATTTAGTGAATCTTAAACAAGTAAATTAATTTGTATTTATATTGATTAGAATTCTTTGTAGCCTGTATTTTACTTTCTTTAACATATCTACATCAAAATGGTATTATACATAGAGATCTTAAACCAGAAAATCTAGTCTTGGAAGAAGATGGATATATGAGATTGACTGATCTAGGAATTGCACGTATAAATAAGGGTAATAATGCTGGAGATACTTCTGGTACTCCAGGATATATGGCACCTGAAGTAATGTGTAGAATGGATCATTCTATTGTTACAGATTATTATGCATTAGGAGTTATTACATATGAATTAATGCTTGGACGTAGACCATATAATGGAAGAACCAGACAAGACATTCGTGAATAAATCTTGGCTAAATAAGTCTAAGTAAGAAGAGAAGAAATGCCTAATTATTGGAGTGAAAGTGCTATGGATTTTGTTAACACAGTATAGATTCAATCATATACAGTTAATTTAACGTAAACCTGAGAGAAGATTAGGAGCCAATGGAATAGAAGAAATTCTTCATCATCCATGGCTTAAAGGATTTCCATGGGATGATCTCTTAAAAAAGAAATTGACAGCTCTCTATATTCCAGGAGTAATATTAATATATCTAATTTAGGCTGTAGATAATAATTTTGATTTCCAAAACTAGATATCAGAAGAAACATAATTAAATGATGAATAATAACTTGAAAATCAAGTAATGTTACGTCAAGATACTGTTCAAGGTAATAAATAATATAATATATATATCTATAGCATTATTTGATGGATATCAATATGATGTTGATCTCTCAAAATTATAACATCAATAAACTCAAAAAAATACATAAAGAAAAGTTTAACAAACACCAGACAAAAAATGAATATCTATATATATATATGATTAGTTAATATTAATTTTTATCTTTTGATATTGTGTCATTATCCCTTTCTTGCTGAAACAGATTATTATTTGGTTACTGCATGTTCTTCAATCAAAGCATCACCAACATATTCATTAACTCGTTTCTTGAGATATTCATTTACAGTTGAAATCTTCTCTCTGTAAATCAATAAAGATTCTTCTAATAATTAATTCTCCTCATGTCTTTTAGCCTTCTCTGAATTATATAATTTCTTTTTATAATTATACTCTTCTACAAAAAAAGTAATTAATTAATATAATACCTTAAGTCAAACTGAGAATTCTCATACTTTAATCTTATAACTCTTTCTTCTTTGTTAAAATATCAGATGCTAATTCTTTATCATTCTATAAAGAATTCAAGAACTTAGCTTTAGCATCATATTCTTATTTCAAAGATTCTTATTCAGCCAAAATATTGGTCTTGAAATCAGCAAAATCATTGGCAGATTGTATTTCTTATTCTTCTAATCCCTTAATTGTTTCTCTTAATTTTTCAATCAATTATTAAATTACACCTACAACATCTTTTGTCATTAATTACACTAATTATTCACCATTTCCTCTTTATCCTATTTAATAAATTATCAAATATACTAGTTTATGAGAATGAAGTTTCATCATCTCCTAATTTTACAAAGTCTTAGACTGCTTATTCTTCAAAAAGATTAGCATACTTGCTCAATTTCTCAGCATAATCTCCAACATGACTTTTTTCAATCAAATTAGCTTATTTGCTTTGAGCATCACTTCTAACCCAATCAAGTACTGAAAGTGCATTTTTGTACTCTCTAAGGGTATCAATGAACAAAGCATTTGCTTCACAACGTTATCTATAATTTAATAAAAAAGAGATTACTCTGCCAAATTTTCTAATTTAAGTTCATTTGCTTTATATCTCTTATTATTCCAATTCAAGTAATCTGTAGTTTGTTGTATCTTCAAGCTTAATTAAGTAAGATAAAGAATTACTCAACAGCTTCAAGGTCTTGTTAGGCAGCTGCAGCACTCTTTGAGTTAACATTCACAATTCCTGAGAATTCATTGATATCTTATAAGATAGCATTCTCAAATCTTTAGAAGGTAAGATCAGCTTTATCTTGAGCTTCGACATTAGCACCTTATAAATCTTCCAAGAGTGTCAAAACAGATTATATAGCATCCTAGGAACTCATCACATTTGTCTTAGAACTAAGCAAATTCAAAAAATCTGTGTTGATCTTCTTTGGACTACACAAAACACTTTAACTCAATAGTAAAATCACTAGCACTCCTGTTATACTCTTCATTATTAATTTTATTATTACTACAAATACCGTTTTTATTAATATTAATTAATCATCATTGTTATAATCTTTATTCTTTCTATTCTCCATCACTATCTTAATCACTCTCTGAATCATCATCAGATTCCACTTAATCTCCATTTTATAATTTTGCTATAGTATCATGAAAGTCATCATCTTAAGGATCTCCAAACAACAAAATCTTACTCTATATCAATTTATATTTAGGATATTCCTATAAATTAAATAATATCTAAATACATTCATTATTTAGTACACTAAACTCCAAGAATTATATTCTGATTACATTTCTTATTAACAACTTTAACATTTTTATTAAAATTATTATCTTTGTGTACATTTTTCACAAATATCTTAAAATTACAATCTTACTTAAAATTCCTTACTAAACTTTTTATTTTTGAATGTTGAATCTGGATCCAAATTTTATAGATAAAATAATAATTAACTAAGATAAAATTAATGATTACTTTGATTCATCAATCATACATGTATTGAATGCCAATCTAAACATAAATTTCTATCTTAAACTACCACAATGATAAAATTTTATTAAAATATCTCCATAAATCACAGTATTTAATTATAAAACCAATTCATTCCCTTTATATTCATAATTTTTCATTTATGCTTCCTATAATCCACTATATATTCTTTTGTATAATAATAGACAATTTACTTTCTCATATCTTTCACTGTATATATATCTACATAAGGTTTGCTTGTATTTCCAGACATTTTAGGAGATGGTCTATATATATATTTATACATATCATATAATACCCAACTAATGTAATTGCTGATAACTTTTTTAATTAAGCACAATAATCAGGTGATTTGAAGATTTGATTAAAATATTCTATATATCTAATTTATGATGGTTAAGTAACTCCAGATTTTGCTTTATTGAATCTCTTTTTTGAATAATAAAGTCTAGCTTCATCTGGATTACTAGCTCTGCCACTATATAACAAATAACAACAAATCAACGTCCCTGTTCTACCTTTTCCGGCTTAACAATGGATGATAGCTACATGATTTA